CGGCGTCCTGAACTCCTTAGGGACTTCTGCTTCACTGTCGGCAGACAAGCGTTGTCTGTGTCAAAGAAGGCAAAGTGACGGTTGTGGAAGCCTCGGCAATGCTCGGCCCATGGTTGTACAACTTTTGTCTTCGTAATGACTAGGCAACTGCCGTCGTCGCAGCGAAGAGGTGCAGTAGCTTTTGTTGGTGAGCCGCAGACTGGCTTGATTGCTGAGAAGAAATTCTTCCATTATTTTTGGTCAACGTATCCTCTGATCCAGACGTCCTGCACCTCGCGCAGCCGGCGGCGACTGAGGTAGAAAACAGCTTTGTCGTCGTCGGTGGGGCGGCCGACGTAGGCTTTGTGCGGGCGGTTTCTCTAGGTGAGTACGTTGCTGATGACGGCGTTCTTTTCATCACGCCAGTGCTGGTGTTGACGGAGCGCGCGACCGAGAACGGTCAGTGCCGTCGACTGGACTGTTTCCCGCAATCGACACCATTGGTTATCCACGGAAGCGTTGTCGCCAACGGCGGCAGCGGCGGCGGCTTCAGCAACTGGAAGGTTGTCTAGCTATTGAGCTTTCTCGACGCTGAAATGGAGATGGTGAGCAGGTAATGACAACAAATCAATATTCAACTCACCCGGGGCGCTTATGTTGAGGCCTTCTACGAGGCTCTAGGCGAATCCGCAGCTTCAATATGATGAGGTGACGGTCAGTCAACTGTTGGCAGTCGGCATCGCCTTTGTCACCAGCACGTCCCGCTTGTCTTGCCTTCGGTCGAGGACATAGTCTAACAGGTGCCACTGATGTGCCCGACGGTGCCTTCATCTGGCCTTCCCTTGCATCGGAAGTGCGAAGAAGGTGTTCGTTGTAGGTTCCAAGAAGGAGCAGGCCGTTGTCGTTGGAGCCTTTAGACCATGGGGACACAGCACTCGTCTCTAGGCAGCATGATCCATTCCGGCGCGGGCGCTGGAGTCACCAAGGCCAGTCAGTTTATCCGGCTTCGACACAGTCGCCAGGACCGCGTACAGGTCCTCATAGAATTTGTCATTTGCGGCGTCGGCGCTGGTCATAGGGAGACGTAGGCGCTGATGATGGTCACAACTTTGCCTTCCTTCAGAGGCAGTTGGAGACTCATCAAGCGATCGTAAATGACCTACAGCTAACAAGACAGGCGTCGAGGCGGTTATCAGAGTGTTGCGGCTAAGCAGAGCCCAGCTTCGGTGAGCCACAGGCGACAGCTGGGTGCCAACAAATGGACGCTAGGCGTAGTCTGCACCTGCAACCCAGTGAGCGACCTTGAACGAACGTCACGTAAACCCACCGGTGGACACTCCTACACAGCGATATATAAGCAATCAAAATAGTACATACATTATAAATGAGGCGACTCGATATAAATTCAGCTTTTCTGATCTTTGGCTCACTAAGGACTGCAATAATTAAAGTTTCTTTAACTAGCCCTATATAGCCGGGCATATTTTGTTATTTGCCAATGACCTACGCATCAACGCTCATTTGAATAAGCCGCAAATAGGTAAGTTGCTAATATTTTTATCATTAAAATATGTTAATGTGTGGTTTGTTTTATCCTCAATGCCAGACTGCACATTCATCCGTTTCGTCTTTGTTCGTTCTAAACATTGATTTTTGTTAGCTAGGTGTGCACTCAAACGCGAAAATATTATTATTCAGCTGCGGACGATTGTTATCACGGCATGACAGAGACCAATTATTATGCTGCTATAAGATGGATGTGTAAAGATATCCAAAATAAATCCAATCATTGGTTTAAAAGGCGTTTCGTGGCATCTAGTCTCAACAATCAATGCTCATATATTTTTGGATCTATACGGAATAAATGTCTGCATCACTGCCTACACCTAAACCAACAATTTTCATTAGTCATTAAACAAAAAAAGACGACCCGTATGCACCCTCGATGGCGAGGCTGGGAGCTGCTGGATTACGTACCCGTCCGCAGGCGAGACCGACCGGATTTGCTGGTGACCAAGGCAGTTTGAGATGCCGGTGGTTGGACACAGCACTGCCTCTTTGTCCCCAAGATGACCTCCGCCTGCCACCTCACAGGAGACAAATGTGCAAGCCCCCACCAGGTAAGTTATATACTGTTCCCTTGGATGCGTTTAAGCACCACTTCCTCCTCAACAATCATCTAACACGTCCACTGGTAGTATTGGAAAATTTGGACTAAAACGTCCTTATGGGTGGTCGAATGGTGTCAAGTGCGGAACATAACCCATCCCACCAAAAAGTTGATAGCGCATCCTAGATATGACCCTCGCGGCATGAAAACTACACTAAAAGTGTCCTGTCTCTTGTAGCCGGCAGATAATAGTCGGCTTGGATTGGTTGTTTTAAAATTTCAGAATATGCAGGCACAGCAGTTTGAGCTTGGCGCAACATGCCTTACATCAGGACACTTTCTTCCGTCATGCACAATTTAAGGTTGCAATACCCGCAGAGCACAGTAGCTTGCCATGCATTTCAAAATGCTTAAAGATCAAGGCGAACACGCAGGTCGGATATAGCATTTCATTTGTAAAATAATATTTACTTGCGATTGCAATACATCAAATCAATATGACAGTTATACTATAGATTCCAGAGATGCCCACTACTTGCTCCAGAAGAGTAACATGCGCGTGAGTCTGTCTATAGTGATAGAAGACTCGCGCAGTATCTGGCCGAATATCTCCGTCTGCAACGTTTGAACCCGATATTATCACAAAAACAAGTAAACCTAAGGCAGTAGGGGACGCTGTTTACTGCATTCACGAGTACCACCGCACAACCTCGTGCATAGTGTTCTACTGGCCGGGATTTTCGGCATAAGGGAATGGAGCGCTCGGATCGCAAAGGGCGCGGTGTGGGCTTGTGCCATGGGGTGTCGCCATACCCGCACTGGAGACGTTTTTTTATGGTTACGTATTATGAGTATTGCCTGCCAGACACTAATGTAACCCCTCTGTATTGGTTCAACACATCTACTGCGTGGCTCGTTTTAGGGGGCAAAGTCTCAAGAATCTCAACAAGGCGCCTGCCATCAGTTTGTCAACCACCATCATCCCAGGACTGCGTGAGCAGGCATCACGTCTGCAGCACACGTACGGCAGAAATGCAGACACCTGCAACATGCTCGTGACCTCGACTCACCTTATATCGCACTTCGTAGGAGTTTAAATACAGAATCAGAGTTGGCACTGTCTTACAGAATTATGCTCCTTCTTTTGTGGGTTTTGCTGATGTCAGCATGTGTGCATGGATCACGGGGCTGCACGCACACCGGCAAATCATCCAAGAATACCGTTAAAAGTAAGACATATTTGTATCTATAATAAGTCATTCCGTAACGTTTATGCCCAACTAAGTTCCGAAAAGTCTCAACCATGCATTTACATCACCTGGTCCTTCAAATGCATTGCGATTACATGCTAACACCTAAAGGTTAAAAACGGAAAAAAATCTATTAGAATTCTTATCAAATTTTGTCGTTTTGCTTAAGTAAATTCTCAAATTAATATTAACTTTTTTCACAGGCGGACATGTTTTTGACTTACACCAGAATTTATTTAGTTTGACCAGCACATTTTAACTAACATAGAAACAAAGACGGTTATGTCAATCACATGTGGAATAAATAATGCACACAAACACCGTATTACAAAGAAAAAAATGCATAGAAAACGTAAATTCCGATAGACTAAGATAATGGTAAATGGTTTCTTCAAAATCCATTTGCACAGCGATAATATCTGTTCCCGGCTGCGATTAGAACTATTAAAGCGAAAAAATCGGTACAGCAGTCTGTCGTTTGATAAACCTAAAATGTCTAAGTACTTTTATAATCAAAGTGCAACTCATATTCAATTGCCGAATACCAAAATTGGTAATATCACACGTGACGAATATGCGGAATAAACTGTTTTAACAACATGTAAAAGTGGTTATGCAATATTCTTCAGTGATAAACATATGCGATATAAACCCACGTGACCACGAAAACATTGGGCATCAACAATTTATGCACACGCATAAATGTGTGTCTTGTCTTAAAAGTGTTCTTTTTAATCACTCTGAATATTTCATGGTCTTACACGTATGCTGTCGACAGCTCTCGATTCTGTATTGCAGTTATTGATTTTGTTCACATTCGGAAAGTTTGCCGCACCAATTCTTAAACCGCTCTGCTCTACCTCGCCGTGGTCTGCCTGTCTTAAATTTGACGGTGTATGGGCTTCATATGTTTGGTTAAGATGAGATTTATTAGGGAAAAAGTAGGCAAACGCCTTTGAGTGCCCCTTAGTTTAGAATAACGTCGCATAGGAAAAAACTAATGCAGGAGGAAATTTGGAAGGAATATTGCCTGAAGAATTATCTACAAAGGAGGAGTAACAGTCTGGAAAATAATTTTAAAAAATGGGTTAATGGCCTTTTCTTCTGTGGTCGGTACGTGGACGATATCTTCCTTCAGGCGGATGGTACCACTGATATCAAAAAACTTGTGCAAAAGTTCAACAGTGCGCACCCCTCACTAAAGCTCATTGCCGAATCTGAGACAGATAACGAAATTGCGTTTCTATATATCCTCCTACATAGGCACCAGATGGTGTGACTTTGCAAGGACAGTGTCAATGCATGTTGCACTCTTCAACCAAACGAAGCCAGAAGAGCGTAGTCAGTAGGAGCCAAGCATACTGACGATGCGGCTGCCACCACTTGAGGTTGGCGTTGGCCACGGCAGAGAGAGCGCTTGTGTCAGAGTTTTCTGACAGCGTAACACCGGATTCTATCTCTTAGGTAGAATGTTATTATCGACAAACACAAGTGCAACTGGAATCGCCATTTCTGGCTTATTAGCTGTCGTCCTCCTGCCGGAGGCGATGCAGGAGGTTGGTAAGATCCTCAACTGCACATTGCGAGGTTGGCGCAGAACAGTCAATGTTCGGCTTATGAGCGGAGCGGATGCCCACGAGGACCAGGAGAAGCTAGTCCGTTCAGTTCTCCGGATCGGCCGCGACGAGCAGGGAGGCCTTCAGCTGGCAGTGAAACCGCTCGACCACCCCGTTAGCTGCCAGGTGATAGGCTGTCGTCCGTATGCGGGCACATCCTAAAAAGGAGAGTAAAGACTGGAAGAGGTTAGGCTTAAACTGGGCACCACGGTCAGTTGTGATTGTGGAGGGTGCAGCAAAGATAGCAACCGAACGGGGGAGAAAAGCCTAGAACACCGTTGGAGCAGCAATGTCAAGCAGGGTAACTGCTTCAGGCCACCGAGTGAACCGATCCACACAGGTGAGGAGATAGGAACAACCATTGGGCAGAGGCAGGGGGCCTACAATGTCCAGGTGAACGTGGCTCAACCTTGCACCAGGGCCGGGAAAGGTGCCAATGGGGCCTTGTTGTGCCGCTGCACCTTGTTGAGCTGGCAGCTCAGACACGACCGGGTCCAAGCTTTGACGTCCTTGTTTATGCCAGGCCATACAAAACTTTCCAAAAGGAGCTTTTGAGAGGCTCGGATCCCAGGGTGGGAGAAACCATGCAAAGTTTGAAAAACAGCTCGACGCATCGAGGTGGGCACGAAATTGAGATGAAAGGGATTTGAGCCGTCACAAAGTATAGTAACAGAGACAGTGGTCAGAGGAACGTCTTTGAGTTGGAGACCACTAACAGACTCCTCATCTGGACAACCAACTCGCTGTTGCTCAGCCGCCATGGCACAAAGATCGATCCCGTGTGAGAGTTAGAGGGAAGACAGTGAGGGTCTGGACAGCATATCTGCCACCTCATTCTTGGTGCCATCTATGTGGCGGATGTCGGTGGTGAATTGGGAGATGTAGTCCAGGTGGGCGGTTTTACTCGGATTGTACTTATCGGAGTGGGAACGAAGCGCAAAAGTCAACGGTTTGTGGTCAGTGAAAACAAAGTAGTCACGACCTACAAGGAAATGCCGGAAATGCTTCACAACCAGGTATATGGCCAGTAGTTCAGGGCCAAAGGTACTGCAGCGTGTCTCAGCTGGTAAGAGCTTTTTGGAGAAAAAGGCAAGTGGTTTAGTCGAACCAGCAAGTTGTTGTTGAAGGATTACACCTACGGCTACGGTCGAAGCATCTAACATCAGAGACAGCTGAGCTTCGGGAGAGGGATGCGTGAGTCAAATGGCGTCGGGAAGTGAATTCTTGTTTCACTCAAAAGTAGTCAGTGCGTCACCAGTCAGCTCGAAGGGGCCTTTGGGACCAGAAAGCATGTTGGTGAGCGGCAACATGAGGTTAGCACAGTTCGGTAGGAACCGGCGGTAAAAATTGACCATGCCGAGGAATCGCTGAAACTGACGCTTGGAAGTTGGAGGAGGACAATTACGAACTGCTTCAACATTGGAGGGGTGGGGACGCAAACCTTCAGATATGATCTGATGGCCCAGGAATCGAGCGAAGGCACACCTAACACGCACTTGGAGGGGTTGATGACAGCACCAAACTTGTCAAGGCGGTCAAACACCAAGGCAAACCGGTCTTTGTGTTCTTCCTCATTCCGGCTGGCCACCAAGAGGTCATCAATGTAGGCGTACACAAAGGGTAGGCCACGAAAGACATGGTCGATGAACCTCTGAAACGTTTGGGCCGCATTACGAAGACCAAACGGCAAGCGGCTGAACTGGAAGGGACCGAAGGGTGTGGTGACGGCGGTTTTAGGGATGTCCCCAGGGGCGCGGGAATCTGATGAAAAGCACGCACCAGATCAATCTTCGAGAAAACCGCATTGCCGAAAAGGGCTCCAGCAAAGTCCTGAAGATGAGGCACGGGGTACCGATCAGGAATGGTAGCGTTGGTGAGGGCTCGATAGTCGCCACAGGGTCGCCAGTCGCCCAATATCGCCCTGGGCACCATGTGCAGTGGAGACGCCGAAGGGCTCTCGGACGGTCGAATTATTCCCAGTTGCAGCATGTTTTCAAACTCCGCCTTCGCGGCCTGGAAACGCTGCGGAGCTGGTCGAGCTGGTGTGGATATGGTGCACAACATCATGTTGAACCTCACCACTGCGAAACTAGGGGTTACTCATGTTGGGATGACTAAGAAGCAGTTGCCGAAAGGGCCTAGCAATATCCGTATCCAAGACAGATAAGTTGGTGGGGGCAGTAAAGGGAGTTAGACCAAGAACAAACAGACCGGTTGTGCGGTCGAGGAGACGGGCACGCCGACAGTCAATAAGGACATCGAAGTCGGCAAGAAAGTCCGAGCCGAGGATTGCATGAGGGACATCATCAATCAGAAAGATCCAGGGGAATGACCGACGAAGGTCAATGTTCAGGTAGAGGATTAAAGTGCCAAAAGTGGGAATAGGGGAACAGATGACAGCTTAGAGGTGAAGACCATAATTTGGGCAACGTCGTTCGGCCTGCGTGGGAGGGATAACACTAATCTGAGCGTCAGTGTCGACTAACAAATGCTTGCCAATCGTGTTATCACTGACGTAAAATGTGCGACCCGTGCAGTTGCCAGAGAACTCGGCCGCATTTACTCTCCGGCCTAGGAGTTTCACTGCGTACACTTTAAGGAGCATGGTGTAACACAGCGCCGCGCCTTATCGCCATAGTTGACATGATACCAACATAGTTATGCGGTCGTGGGACGAGAGCGGGAACGACGACGGTCACGGCCGTAGGAACGTCGAGAGGGACCGGGGGATCGGCGCAGCTGCAAAGCGGCAAAAGTCGCTGTCAACTGTGCACTCTGTGTCTTTAGTCAAAGTCAGAGGTGGGCACAATGAGAGGCTGGGACACCTGAGCAATCGTCGGGGATGACAAACGCTCAACCACCATCCTACGGTCTGCCATCTCCGCTAACTTTGATATGTCCAGGTCGTCGGTGCCACAGACCAAAATTGTTTGCACCGACGTCGGCAGACTTTCTAAGAACATCTCTTTAAAAAACTTGTCGTCAATTGTCTCGTTCCCAACGAGAGAATGCATACGACGCAAGAGTTCGGACTGCTTGCGATCACCTAGGGCTTCCTCTTTTACCAGCGCGTGATAACGCTGCCGATCGGAGACTGATGTCAGGCGAAGTTCAGCCTTTAACTTGGTGTAGGGAGCATCAGTCGAAGGATCTCTCAGAAACGTTTGCACTTGGGTAAAAATAGTGGGAGGAAGTAATTTGACCAACTTATAAAATTTGTCGCTTTCACGTGTTATCTTGGCGGAATGAAAATTCGCCTCGATACGGAAAAAATAAACCTCGGGCGCATGCTGCCAAAAGTCTGGGAGAGAAGAAAGAAGTCCACTGAGTGAAGGAGTGGCATCGTTGGAATTCGTAGATGTCATGATTGTAGACAGAAAGAAGGAGAAGGGACGGTATGCAAATGGAAAGTCAACAAAGTAAAGGTATAAGCGCGAACGTCAAAATGTCACCACTGTCGCGAGCGCTAAAGACAGATCCGTAAATCCCAGACTATGAATATCAGGATAAGACCAGAGTTATCAATGAATTAACAATTAAAAGCCAAACGACCTGACAATCCAACTCATGCAAAGCGCGTCGCGTCGAGATGTGTCCCTTCTATTCAGTTAAACAACCAGTAAGTTCAAGAATGAGGAACAGGCAGGGAAAGGTAAGATAGTCTGGTGCCTCGGCACAGTTTCAGTGAAGTCGAAATCCACACTCCTAGAGTTGTCTGAGTCCTTAGCTTTGGTATCGATATTTAATTCTGATAGTCAGGTAGATGTTGCACAATTCTACTCCTAACATGAAATAATTATGAAGGAACTTACCGTGCTAGCTCTAACTTTGCTGTCGAGCAAAATGTGGACATCACTGGACGCGACGGTGCTGGTTCAACTGTTTCGCGGAATACTGCGCTTGCTAACATTTGACCGGTAGAATTTGTGGTTTAACCATTGCTCAAGTCGATTTAAGTTTGCCTGCAAGTTTGTTTCGTCGTCCTTGTTGCGAAAAACTTTTCAGAGCTTTATGTTGCCAGCAAAGATTGCGGTGTCGCATTCCAACACGCGGGTGCAGTTAGCATAATGTATAGGGAAGATGAGAGGACCAAGAGTGAAGTCCTGAGAAACTACGCTCTCAATCTCCACCTCCGCTGATTGATCGTAGCCAAGACGGTTAATCTGTGACCTTCAAACTAAAACGTCTTCAATCCATTGTCAAAGGTTGTCCTTTACCCCTATAATGCTGAGGTTACAATGAAAACTTTAGGGATCCACAGTATCAAAGGCGTTTTTAAAGTGTATGTAGGCTATACACACCAAATTTCCTACATCTTTCGCTCGGTTCCACAATTCTAGACGGTAGAGAAAATTGGACAAGCAGGACCGTCTTCTGCAGAAGTCATGATTTGCTCAAAAAACTGAATTTATTTTGCAATTCGCTCCATAATGTAGCAACATCTGGAGTAGTGGCTTACCGGTCGGTAGTTTTTGTGCACGCACAGCTTCCAATTTTATATATCGATGAACTCCAACCCAGTCGCTCAAGTGCAAATCTGCCTGCTTCGGAAGAGGGGCGTAAAACATGAGAGATAAGGGTTCCACGGATTTCACGGCTAAATAATCCAACAACCTGTCTGGTATTCCATCAGGACCTATCGGCGTCAGTCCGTTCAGGTTCATTGCCACGTGCGGAAAAATAGCTCTTGCGTGAACCAGCAAGTCACTTTTCGGGACCTCATTCACGCTACATTTATCTAATTTTAAGGCGAATTCGCTCGAAAAAATGAAGAGCAGTACTTAGGTATATGCTCAGTCTTCTGGTTGTACTTGCAAAATTAAAAAAAATACATCATCCGTGTTTAACAAAGGTATGGCTGCCTGAATTCTTGCATATTAGGTTATGTAGCTGTAGGGAAGCATTGGGATTTTTGCTACGCCGTTTAGCAGGTTACTTTTTGAAGGCTTGGTAGTCTTTTTAAACAGGATTCCTTGCTTAATTCCCTGCATCTTGTACTCATTTATTAACTCGATTGTCTTCTCCCTGATATAAGTCTTCCACGGCTTTCGCTTGCGTTTTACGTCACTCTTTAATGAACCCTTCAGCTAGCGGTGTAGCTAGATATCCTATCTTAAAATTAAGTGCAGTATCTGGTGATTAGACCACGTAAAAAGCCCTTGATCCCAAATAGTTTTTGATAACACAACCGGTGAATCTAGCATTCAAGTCTACACGACACTTGTCGATTTTTTTAGTAGGAGCCTTCACGCCATATTTTGTATCTGACCATGATGCTTCCATCAGGTACAAATATGAGTGAATAGTCACACAATAGGTCTACGTGGTAACGTTTGTCGAAATGAAGTAGGCGCTTTACGTCATAGGCTGTGTAATGTATTTTTTTGTCGGCACAAGGTCTAAAAAGATGGTCTGTTGTCCTTCACGTAGTCCCGTCAGAGATAAGAAGTGTTTAGTGAAATATGATTTCTGTACTGCTTTCAGGAGGCGGCGATCTATGCTTTGCTTAGCTCCTGAGGCAGCAATCACATTTTGGTCGATTTGTTGAGGACTGAATTCGCACATAATCATGACTTTGGATATGAAATAGAAAACACCTCTTATTCTTCTATCGTCGGAAGACCGTCATAATATCGAGAGCTTGTGAGTGCGGCGTCCTGCTGGTGATCCAATTTCTGCCTCCGTGCTTTCCCCATTTTTTCAACACATGCAGGTCATGCCTGACCTAAGTGATCACACCCAGACCTGACCTCACGCTTTATGCTTTCTGAATAACGGAACATCGGGTAGAGTGACTCCGCCACGTTCGTCAACAGCCTCGTTGTAGTTATGGATATGACATCTGGCATAAAACAGCATAGGTAAAGCTTATTGACATCTAGTTTAGAGAGCAGACCTTGCGCATTTGTATACAGATGTTTTAGCTCGTCTCATATTGTAAACCAGCTATGCCACTTTGTCACCTGCATCAGCTGGGACAACAGACTCACAACATGAGCTGTCTTAAGCCTAAACGACCGCTCTGTCATCCGGCTGTTGTGTATAGTAAGGTTTAGCTCTTCGCTTGTTACTCCCTTTCTGAGCTCCGAGACTAACTGCTGAAATTTCAGCCGCTGCTCCGGTGCCCAATCTAGCAGCAAATCTCCTTGGTGGGAATATTTTGAGGAACACGTCTTAAGAGGATAATATTAAACGTTTTTTTGCACCTCAAAACCATTTTGAATAGCCTAGGATGCTTTGGATTAGAGAGTTTAGCAGTTTTCTTCCCGAGGCTCAATGCGTTCAATACTGAGAACTTATGGTTGCTTTTGAGCATCGAGTACAGAAGACCTCGGAATATGTCGAGGATTAATACAACGTGTTCCTCTGGAGGGTCTGAATTTGCCTCCCAAATTTCATATATTACTAAGCAGCGACCTGTCCTTTTTGCGTGGTGGTGGTGACTTGGTGGTTTTCGGCGAATATTTCATGGCTATGCTCCGGTTGCTATCCGCTTTGAGTGCCCTACACAAACTAACGTCGCAATGTCTGTTGCGCTACTGTCCCTATCTTTTGTATCATCTGAGAGGTTTCTGAATCTGCTGTGAGTGTGTCAACTAGGTCACTTGTGTTTTTTCTCGACTGCTCAAACAAGCCTTTGCTTTTATACATTGGCAGGTAGGACCGCACTTAGTAGTCAAGCCCAATGACCACAATTTTAACTACTGGCTCGGTTTCAGTAGCTGTGATTACGTTCCCATTATGATTCTAATGCGCGCGCGCACTGTCCCTCTTGAGCTTGCACTTGGTGCATCTGCGATCTTGCCTGACATAGCCGGGTTCGATGTTGCCCCGAACAATATCTCTCCACCCTGGACGATCCACGGCGGCAGATCTGAACAGCTCAACCCATTCTCCCCCAGCGACGAAAACAGAATATCGAATGTCAGATAACCGCTTGCATGTCGTAACTAACTGTGTCGTGCCAGGTTTTAAGTTCGCCCCCTTATCCACGCCTCTGATTGAGTGACACTGATGGATTAAGTCCAGTATCGCTGACCTTTAGAAGTGAAAGGCGTAAAACAGGT